AAAGGAAGAGGAAGGCCACGCAAAAGGTGGATTGAGGGGGGCAAGGAAACCGCGACCCCAGTGATTTCTTGTTGTATCTCCATTTTTAGTAACAGTGAAAACAGTTCGTAACAAAGAGTGAGTTTAAGAAGATGTCACATTTTCAATGTTTAAAAAAATGGAAATACGACAAGAAAGCACTAATGTCGCGAAACCCTGAGAAAACATTATATCACAATTGAAAGCTGAAGAGCTGGCCTACTAACTGCATCTCAATTCGGGGCTTAATGGCAACAGAGGATGAAAAAGTTAAAGTAAGTAAATTCAGGAAAAAAGATGAATGAGGTGGACCTGATGATCACTTGTTAAAACAGAAATGAACTAATTTTATTTAAATCTTTTGCTGAGCACTGCTCAAACAGTATGTCCACCGCTGATCACAACAAGGCACTCGCATCGGCCATCTGGGATCAGGAATGTGACTGAAAAGCTGCTAGAATCTTCAGCTGCAACTCTAGCATACCTTCAAGGCTAGCTGAATAGAAAAGAACCACTGTCGATGCTGTTGAGATGAGAGAATACAAAGTAGTCCACCAGACGTAACAATCCTCCAATTGGACCGGCGTAAAATTCTGTCTCATTTGCGAAAACGATGCCAAAGAGCATGTGCAACAGCAGCAGACTCCGTGACAGCTTGGCGACAACGATTCAACAAAGTCTGATGCACTTCGACACGTTGCGTCTTGTGGTCAGCTGTCAGCTCTTTTAGGACCCATCGAGCAGATACCTTTCGATAGTACAGCTCACCAAACCCTATCCTATGGACAGTCGACTTTGATAAATGTTTAGCGACTCGGATGTTTTGCGAATTTTTAGGCGCCTGTCTGTATGAATGAGTTCATTAAAGCGACTCTTGTTGTCCTCAGTCTTTGCAGAAAAAAAGGTTCTGGGTGAACTTTGTCATTGCCATCTGTACGCCCGGCTTTGAACTTACAACTCCACTCATATACCTGTGACTTTGCCATTACGTTCTGCCCATAAACTGACTTTGTTGCAGTGTGTATTATTTTAGGTTTGAGACCTTTTGCGGTCAGAAACAGAAAGACAGACCTCACTTCTACCCTTGACCAATATTCCAAGTGGGTAGCCATCTTTGGAGAACTGTTGTGATCATTTGGTTTGTTCGATATCATGGTGCTCATAGGGAAATTACTATATTATGATTGTTTTACAAGTGTGCGGTTACAGAATGTGAAAATATTGAATAGTTTTCAAATTACAGCCAAATTCCGGTTTTCCGTGGGACAGCCCTCGTACGACAGCTACAGATTCGAGAGTTGGCAAGTACCTGCAAAACGATAAATAGGTCCCCATGACGGAGCCCGAGTTTTTAATTTAGGCCTATTCATTTCCTGAATTTAAAAAATGTATTTGACAAAAAGTTCCCGTCCTTCTTTGGCCTTTGTGATTATTCCATTGAGAAACGAAACACATCTGCGTATGCTGTACCTCACAGCGGAAGTGCCGGAAGTGAAGTACTACGTTGCTCCATTGCAGTTGATGTTAATGCACCAATCATTCCTTTCATTGAAAGGGGGCCCAGCTAGTATAATATAATATAACATAATATTACATAATGTAATGTTATATAATATAATATTAACATAACGTAATATAATATAGTGTAATATAATGTAATGTAATGTAATGTAATAATATAATTTAACATAATATTGTAACATAATGGAATTTCAAGTTATATGATGTAATATAACGTAATATAATATAGTGTAATATAATGTAATGTAATGTAATGTAATAATATAATTTAACATAATATTGTAACATAATGGAATTTCAAGTTATATGATGTAATATAATGTAATATAATATGAATGAGTGCGCCTAGAGAACGGTCCCAGTCGTTGGCAAAGATGTGTTTCAGCTAGGAGGTGAACAGGCAAGAAATGTGTCTTTGGTCGTTCCTAAATAGTGTATTCAAAGGAACAAAAATGTTGGTTAATATATTCTATAAATTCTCACAACATGTTACACTCACTGGAGTGTTATAGTCTGGACAACACCTAATGGACAACTTGTCGATCTCATTACACTTAAGTTAAAAGGCGAATCATCCTTATTTTTTTGCACGTGCCTCTGAATTCTAAAAAACCTAAAACATTGCAATTTTCGTGCATATGCGACAATTGATATAAAGAGGTGTTTTCTATATAATCTTTAGTATTTAATTACAGTCTGCGCAGGGATTTTTTATTAGACTAAATACGGTAGTTAAGGAAGGCTATCTTGCTTATTACAGGACCAAATTTTACCAAATTTCACACATATAACAAACATAGTAGGGAGTCTTAAAGTCCGCAATCAAATTTGAGAAAAAAGCTATGTTTCCATGGGTACGGCGGCCATATTGGATTTTGTTGACATGTCTTACGTAATGAATGCCGCACTTATTGCTCTTGGAAATTAATTGTTCTTTTGCATGAGTGTTAACAAATATTATATCTAAAAAATGTTACGTTGTTTTTTTTTGCTAAACGAATTAGAAAATTTTGTATGAATTTTTTTTCCTGAGGTAACATTCAAGTTTGCAAAAAATCCGTGAAAATCCCCACTCCAGACACTAATAGCAAAAATCTATTTCATATATCAAAAATTCAATCGATAAATATTAGTATTATATCTTTTCATCATTCTGTGCAAATGTCACGAAGATTTAATGAAAAATGGTGAAGTTATTCAAAAGTATAAGGGGGCTCTCGTGGCATAGAGGTTAAGGTGTTGGCCTCTCATTCAAAGGTCCCGGGTTCGAATCCGGGTAGCGACCAAACAATTTTCTTCTCTAAAATTGTCTCCTTTCACCTCCTTTCCTGATCTCTATCAATGTTCTGTTGTCTGCTTTCATTTCCACTTAATGCCCCCACCCCCTCACCTCCTTTGTCCCCTCCTCTGGGCTCCTGAATCTTTCTGCAGCCTTTCTACTGCTACTCCTTGGCTCCTCCTCACTGCTGTCTTTCTGCCACACCCCTGATCTTCTGGTAGGAAAGATCTACACCTAGCCTTCTCGGACAGGGGCTAAAAATCACGGAGGGCCCGTGTGCAAGTTGCGCACGTTAAAGATCCCTTGGTGGTCTAAAATCGATAAGAGTAGGCTTCGGCCCCCACCCGGGCAAAATTCAAAATTTCCTACCTACTGAAAATATTAGGTGTGTTCCGCGCGCTCATATGACCTATGCAGTTGCGAGCGCCGTAAAACACTTAACAAAAACAAAAACACAAAAAAGTATAAAGAAAAGTAGCGTTTTGAGAAAACGGCCGATAAAGAAAAATAAAATACTGACTTTATGAGGAAATGGTGGTAACAAACATGCCAGTATGGGGGATAATGTGGTTTTGGGGGGTTCTTATGCCCATGAAATAGTTGTAGGAGTTGCTGGGGAAGCTAAAAAATGCCTACAACACCAATTTCATAATTTTGAGCCGAATTGGGACTTTGGGGGTGTAAGTGATAAGTGTTAGGCTTTTTTTCTTTCTTTTTTTAAATCTACATGTATTTTCTTTTTTAAAAACTGACTCCATTCGCCGCAAGACTGAGTTGTTTTCGGACAAGTGGTTAGTGGTTGACAGTGAGTTTATTTTGATTAGCAAGGAGTAAAAAATTTTCCTATCTTCCGTCATTGAGATGTAAGTGCAAAAGGGGGAGAGGGGGTGGGGCTCTGCCTATAAACCTGAACGAGAGGGGGGGGGGTGTGCCCAGTGACATGCCCATCAGCGCTTCAAATTTAGCACTCTATTGACCCCCGTTTTTGGGTTTGACCAAACTGTATCCTTCCCCCTCCCCTTTCTCTGAACTTTTTGGCTTTGCCCCAGCAGCGACACCCTGTATTGTTTGGTTATAGTATAGTACCGTGCTTGCAAGAAAAAGTGTGCGGTATTGAGTTTTATGAGCAATTAATTACTTATGATTATATAGACAGCACCTCTTTATTTTGTAGCATATGCACAAAAATCGAGATTGTTTAGGTCTTTTAGAATTCGGTGGCGTATGCAAAATATCAGAGAGACTCGTCACCTAGATTCGGTGTAATGAGGTCAACAAGTTGTCCATTTGGTGTTCTCCGGACTATAACAGTGTGCTGAAAATTTGGTCAGATGCCTCCGTCATGTTCCTTCTATTTTGGCGGGGGTTTTTCCTGCAGCCAACATGGCGTATTCAGTTCAATATTGATTTGTACTCTCTTTGTAAAGAGAAAAATATGTTTATGAAATAATTGTCTTAAAAATCATTTGTTTTATACATGGAGATCATGTTTTGTTTGTTAAACAGTGGGTGGGGTGGGGGCTACACCCCAAAAGTCCCGATTCGGCTAAAAATTAATTGCAGGCATTTTTAGCTTCTTCAGTCTCTATTATAACTATTTCATTGCATAAGAAGCCCCTAAAGCCTTATTTCTTCTCATACCGAGCATGTTTGCCCCCACCATTTCCTCATAAAGTCTTTTTTTTTCTTTATCGCCCGTTGTCTCAAATTGCGGGTTTTCCATAATAATATACTTTTTTGAATAACTCTACTACCATTTTTATCCAATCGTCATGACATTTTCACAGAATGAAGAGAAGACGTAATAAGAAATATGTGTCCGTGGAAATTTTGATATGGAACCGATTTTTGTAGTGGTGTCTGGGGTGTACATTCATTTTACGATGAAAATATGGCATTTCTTTATGTATCACAAGCCGGTAGATAAAATGTGCACTGAAAAAACTCTGGAGCTGGGATTTTGTTGTTGTTGGGTTGTTGTTTTTTTCAAAACTGTGTTTTACACCTTGTCTTACAAAATTTAGCATAGTATTATGAATAATATTCTTTCGAAGATTGATTCGATGCACAAAGTAAGACCGATAAGACAGACCGATGGGGGATGATTGATGGTCAACGAGAGACCAGACAGACAGAGGCGCAGAAAGATAATAATATTAATTCATTACAGTCAATCACTCACTAGTGAGTATCTGGTGGCGGCGACATCCATGCGAATTGTGGGCAGATCTCGTCTGATCACCTCGTCACTTGTCTGAGACTGTACCACCAGTCGGTGTATGGCCTGTGGGGAGTGTTTATTGAAATTGACTTTGCCTGAGGCCCATTTTCCTCAGAGACTAAGAGAGTTATTAAAGCAAAATTTACCCTTTGATAATTTCCAGGCATCAATTTAGCTTTCTTAAGGAAGACACAGTGGGAAACATTCATATCAAAGACACGCTTCTCTGTTAAATTCTGATTGTTTTCTCACGTTTTAACTCTATCCTTTTTTCTGAACACCCCAACAACGCGTCTGTGTGAAAACTGTGACAAGCAGAAAGATTAAATAGTCTGCTGCTATACATTATATCTCAATGGATATATTATGTAATATAATGTACAGGGTGATCTACAAATTACAGGGGGGGGGGGGAACAAACAAACAACTGTACAACTGTTTTTACTGAATATCTCGCACAAAAAATTGTACTAGAATGTTGTATTTTTGAACAGACATTGATTGACATAAAGTTCATAAAGATAAACCGTTATTAAGAAAACAAAAACGATCTTAAGAAAAACACACATAAACGCAAATTGCGCCATTTAAAAATCCTTTGAGGTAGGGAAGTTACGACTCGATTCGATTGATTTTTTCCTTTCTTTTCTTTTTAACGTTTAACTTTTCCATCCCTGTAACATATAAACGATATTTCATTTCTTTTATAGAAATAAAAATACAAACATTGCTATTCTAAATTTCTCAGAGCCAGCGCTCTACATGTCCTCCTTTAGATTCGAAACATTTTTGACGTCGTTCGTGGTGGCCAAACAAAAGGACCCGCCAGATCATGAGTGTTTAAAACCGCACACACTGTAAACCTTTCATTACAAAGTGTCTTCTAGATATTAAAGGGGCTGGGTGAGGTGCCCAATAGACAGCATTTGTGGAGTTAACATATCCTAAAAAGTGAAGAAGGGATCTGCCACTGAACCAAATGTCATTGAGGAAATGTTTACACTTTTTCAATATGACCTAGGAATCATAAACACATTGTCATGTTCTGATCCATGTCAACCTCACGAACATGAAAATGATACTGTCATAGGTGAAGATCTACGTTGAGAAAGCGGACTGTTGAGGTGTAGGAGAGTCCCAGCCCGCAGAAATCGTCAGCGGACACACCTCTCATATGGGACTCGGCTATTGAATTATGTATCCTTGTGACATTGAACGGGGTGCGAACTGTGCGTTTTCGACCTGAAGTCGTTATTTTTTCTAGGAATTTTAAATTCTGATTCTCTATATATTCAAACTGAAGGAACATCTCTACCCACGACATCAGAGAAGGACTTGGGGGCACTTTAGCTTTATTTCTGTACTTTTGAGTAAAACTTACGAAATGTCGGGGATGAAGAGTGGGAGGCAAAAAAGCTCTCTGCTCTTTACTAAACTGAACTGTGATCTCAGCAGGAAAAGGAAACTTAAGAAAAAAAAGAAAAAAGTAGCTGCAAGCTTCTGTTTACTTGTTAGATTACTGTGGCTTGGAATATGGCGCGATCATTGTTACTTTTAGTGGCAGGGCTACACAAATGGGGACAAGGCAAAAAGTGGCTTTTTTCTTTTGCGCTATACAGAGCAAAACTATAATGTGGAACAATCTAAAATGAATCTCAGACAAATTTCTTTTGGCTACCAAATATTGTGTTCAAATTTGAAACACAAAGCGACAATGTGGAGGAAATATTTACAACAACAAAAGTAGTACAGCTGTTGGTTGCTTTTTTGTTTGATCACCCTGTACTTCCATTTCTGATAGGAAACGAAAGATGCCTAACCTTCGACCTGAGGAGAGAGGTAGAGAGTAGGAGTGTTCAAGATGTTATCTACAGACTATATTCAGTAGTCTTTAGCTGAATATTTGTACCAATTACTGTCTAAACAATGTTATTACAGGCGTAGGTGCATGAACCTATTAAATAACAACAACTACATCAACAAAACAACAATAATAAAAATAATGATAACAATGGCTGCAGCACCAACGAAAACAATAAAATCAAATCAAATCACCGCTGTAAACTAGCTTTTTTCATCCAACAGTTTAAAACAGTTTATAGAAGAAGTTTGTATATACATGACAAATAATTTTGCAGTCATACATGTAACAAAGTCTGTAACTATCAGAAACACAGCCTACAGGCAATATGACCAGCTGCCCTAATTATTTCTTTTAAAAACAACAAAAATTTGCAAAACACACACTATTTTTCCTCTTCGAACCCGCGAAATGTACAGAGCAAAATGCAGAAAACTAATAAAGTATACCCCCCCCCCCCCCAAGAAAAGAACGAAAGAAAGGGGGTAAAAAACAATGAGAGAGAGGGTGGGGCATTTTAAGGGCGTAGAAAACAACGAGAGGGGCGGGGGCATTATTTTGTAGAGGATCAAGATGTTGTATCCTTAAAAATTTTCCCTCACCATGTTCTTCTTTGGCGTAGCTGTCAGGCTGGGTGTGTAGGTGAGATCCTCTATTGTTACGTCCACCACATACGGGAGGAAAGATGGGTTCACTGGCTTCAGCAGGAGTACTAGGGAAAATAAGATGGGTGGTACGAGTTAAGGGGAGGGACGGATAGATAGGTCGAAGAAAACACTTAAGCGAGATACACACACATACATAACATATTTAAATGTATATATTTATCGTCACCTTGTTTGTTTGGGTATTTCGTGGCGACATAGACCGCGGCTCCATATTACCCATAGCCCATCCACTCCCTTGTCTCCTCTCTTCTCTCTCTCTCTCTCTCTCTCTCTCTCTCTCTCTCTCTCTCTCTCTCTCTCTCTCTCTCTCTCTCTCTCTCTCCCCTCTCTCTCACACACTCTTATAATATGATCATAATATTATCCTCTTGTGTTGAAAGGAAGCGCTCAGCAGGGCTACCAACCTGTTCTGATGATTGTAGCTGAAGGTTTTTTTTTGTCTCTTTCCTGTTTCCACTTCGGTATCTTAAAGAAGTTGCTAGCTTTCAGTGTGAAAGGTGTGGCGCTGTCGTTCAAGGTCACCGCAAACGTGCTAGTGTCTGCCAGGGCCAGAGAGTCAGGGTCATAGGACAACAGTGTCAGCTGAGATGACTTTGGGTTCTGAGGGAAGAGAAATGGTAAAACAAGAAATAATAAAATAGAATAAATAGATAACAAATTGAAATACAGCAATAATTGTTGTCGCCCACGTGCAAGGTTCATTGGCGTACTTTCCTAGGTTCAATTCAGCCAGCTGCAAAGCGCTGTTTAGCAATTAGCACGGACACTGAGTAAATAAAATCGTATGAGCCATCATTCTAACTGCTACACGCAGGTAAATATTGTATTTTAGAAATATTCCTTTATGTAGTAAAAATTTAGTTATATTTGACACAAGAGGAAATATAATATATATATAGATATATATATATAGATAGATAGATATATTATATATATATATATATATTATATATATATATATATATATATATATATATATATATATATATATTCTGGATTCCATTAAAAAAGCAAAGTTTTTAAAAGAAAATCGAATATGCTCTGATCTACAAGATTCTTTGGGACACTAGTGAATAATTGTAAATTCACACGCCAATGCACAGTCTTGTTATTTCTACAAGTACTTTTCAACACAGCAAGGTGAGCCGTGGTTTAGTCAAATGTGTTTTAGAGATGCAACATTTCTCATGAAAGATTTTATTTCAATTAGAAGGTGATAAGTAGCTCCGTCTGAACGAAATCATATTTTGGGGGGGGGGGGGGAAATTGATTTACATTTTAAAAAACTTAACTTCATAAAAACATATAAAATGCTATAATAAATCTCTGTCACGCAAAAAAAAAAGGTTTTGTTCTCAGAACTTCTCTCTTCTCACAGACTTTTTGCGTACTCATATGACCTACGTTATAGCTCCCCAATGACACTTTTTAGTGGCAAACGGTTAAAAGAAACTAATTTTATAGCGAATACATTTTAGAACCAAAGGTTTTCAAAAGTACATCCAATAAGCATAATGCCACGATTAGAAGAAAAAAGATACGAGTTTGCTGTTAAAAGCGATATTGCCCCAGTTGTAAACCGTTTAAAATCTGTAAATTGTATACACACATACCTACCTACCTACCTATCTACCTACCTACTTACCTCCCTACCTACCCGCCCACCTACCTACCCGCCCACCTACCTACCTACCTACCTGCCTACCTACCTGCCTACCTACCTACGTACATACATACATACATACATACATACATACATACATACATACATACATACATACATACATACATACAGACAGACATACAGACAGACATACATACAGACAGACAGACAGACAGACAGACAGACAGACAGACAGACAGACAGACAGACAGACAGACAGACAATTTTTTAGCAAAATAATAATCTTAAAGCTTGAACACTTTCCTCGATTTTGATGAAATGAGTACTCATAATATGTCTCAAATATGTGTCAAAATATTTGCGATTGAAGGAGGTAGTGGTCGCCTCTTGCAGGGGTTTGAAAGAAAATGGTCGACAATGTTTAGTGACATCCAAAGTAGCAGTTTCCTTGGAATCTTCAAATTTGCAATTTTGAATCTTTAATCAACATTTTTCTGCAAATTCACGCAGGAATGGAGATAAAAAGTGTTGGGTTCAAAACAGCAAATTCACAGAAAAACTGCCCAACGAGTAAAAAAAATCTTGATTTCATCGATTTCATTATCAATTTCACCAGCACCTGATTTCAACATGATATATTAATATATTTATGTATATATATATATATATATAAATACCTCGGTGTCCATAAGAAACTTGAAAATGTAATCACCCAATTATCGTATTAAAGCTCTGCTTTACCCAGTCAATCAGCATGCCAATTTAAAAGTTAAATAAATTCTTCATCATCAGACACAATAAATTTTTCATCTACGTTAAGAGATGCCCGGAATATAGCCACTCAAAACTGACCTTTAAGAGGGAGGGGGGGTACAACTGAAGGCTATCTCGCTTATTAACAGGTCGAATTTGACAAAATGCCACACAATCAACAAGCATAGTAAGGAGTCGTAATCAAACTTGAGAAAAAAGTTTTGTTTCCCTGGCTACAACTACATGTCTTACGTAAAGAATACCGCACTTATTGTTTATGGAAATAGATTTTTTGTTTCTTTTTCGCGGGTATTTTAACAAACATTAGATCTACAAATTGGTCTGTTGAATTTTTCTTAAGCGAATTAGAAGATTTTTCATGAATTTTTCGCGAGGTAGTATTCAAGTCTGCAAAAATAAATCCGTGAAAATCCACACTCCAGACACCACCAACAAAAATCTATTCCATATAGATCTATCAAACATTCCACTGAGAAATCTTTAGTCTTACATCTTTTCTTCATTCTGTGAAAATATGAAGATTGAATTTTAAAAATGGTGGAGTTATTCAAAAAGGTATATGGAAAAACCGCGTTTTGAGAAAACGGGAGATAAAAAAAATATAAGATTGACTTTAAGAGGAAATGAGGCGACAAGTAAGCCCGGTATGGGAAGAAATAAGGCTTTAGGAGGTTCTAATGCTGTGAAATAGTTGTAGGAAAGGATGAAAACGCTAAATATGCATATAACTCAAAATCCATAATTTTCAGCCAAATCTGGACTTTTGGAGAGAAAGGAAGAAGAAGAAGAAGAAGAAGAAGAAGAAGAAGAAGAAGAAGAAGAAGAAGAAGAAGAAGAAGAAGAAGAAGAAGAAGAAGAAGAAGAGTGAACATAAGTTAGTGCCATTTCAATTGCGGACAAAACTATTTCAGCTAATATTCGTTGTGACAAGAAGGGATTTTTCTAGGTCATACTACCCTCCTCTCCATCATTGTCATCCTGTGTTACAGCCCCTGACGTTCGAGCATTTGCGACCTTAGTATTCTTTGCAGGCAGGAGAGCATTATCTAATTCATTATTCTTGCAAGTGAATTTCATGGAATTGCAGTCTAGTTTACATTAATAGTTCTCAATTTTGGAGAAGCACGTGTGGCACTGGTGTCTTGTCCAAATGAAGTGGAAATAGTTTACCAGTTACAGGAAGGTTTGTCTTGCGAACTGGAGTGTCAGTTATATTTCGGATCTACATGTCACGCAGTATTATAAGATAAGAGATCTGATAATACTTTATTGTCCCAGAGGGAAATTTTTTTTGGCTGTACAGGACTGTAAAAATACAAAGAGATATGCATAGAAATTGAATTATATTTTACTTTCATTAAAATTCAATATGAAAAGAAAATTAAAGCTGACACTAATATACACATTATTATCACATCAGATACATCATTCAACCACAAGCAGGACTATCGTGGTAAGCATTTTGCTCTATGAGTTGTCCAAACGGTCAATTACGAGGCAGATTTTCAGATTTTTATTCCATTTCTGGCAGAACATAACTAAAAAGATAAAAGCCAAACGCACCTCATAAACTACAAAATGTGTATCGTGCATTGTTTGATTTCGGGCCCATTTTCTCCTTTGGCATTAAACTAGGAACAACCCAGGTTATGAACATAATAGTCAGTCTGTACGTAAAATTGTCCCTCCTGAACGAAATTTCTAGTCAGAAATTTGAACTCCCTGATAAATAATACTCGGCAATCTACCATTAACTATCATACAACTACTACGCTGAGTCAAAAAGTAAAGCAAGTTGTTCGTTATTTTGCACAATTCTGAATCAAATTATATGAGATTCAGCTCACAGGTATTAGCACATGTACTTTAGAACTCGAACTGTTAAAATTTAAGTTTCTTTGATTTTTGCCTGAATGACGTCACATTAAAATGGCTGCCCCCTTGGAGGTTTGTCAGAGGCAAAGAGCTGTGACTGAATTTTTTGTTTTAAAAGGAGAATCCGCCAGTAACATCCAAAAGAGACTTTAAAATGTTTACAAGGACCAAGCTCTAGATTTTGGCACTGTATATAGCATATAGATGGGTCAGACGCTTGAGCAATGAACCGGAATAGTTTAATAAT